ACACACACACACACACACACACACACACACACACACACACAAATTCAATGGTCTTGATTTTCAATGTATTCTTTGCAATGTTTTTCATTTTTGTAAACTTAAACTAAACTATATTCACTCGTAATCAAAATTATTGTTACAGATTTGAAAGTGCCTCCTCGAGATTGTATGTTTCAACTCCTTCCGCAAATGTTCATTAGGCTTTAGATCAGAGTTCACAGAAGGAAAGAAGACATAGCACCCTCTGTAAAACATGGAGGAGGCTTGTTTATCTGCTGGGGCTGCTTTGCTACTACCAGCACAGAATGTTTTGAATTTGTGTTAGGTTCAATTACAGTGCATACAGAAATTATTTACAGCACTTCTTTTTCCACATTTTATGTCTGATAATATCCTCATTCCAATATAGAATAAATTTCCCCTTCCCCTCAAAATTCCATACAGAACACCCCATAATGCAAACATGATTATTATTTTATTAAGAATAAACATTTCACAAGAAATCACATATACATAACTTCACAGCCTTTCCCATGAAGTTCAAAATTGAGCTCAGGTGCATCATGTTTCCACTCATCATCCTTTGAAGTTCTTGTCTCTTAATTGGAGTCCACCTGTGGTAAATTCAGAGACAGGATCGTCTCGAGGCACAAATTTGGAGAAGGGTGCAAAAAAATTTAGACACAACACCTGTCGCCAGATGGAGAAGTCTAATGGAGAGTTATGGAAATTGTTACAGTGACAAAATTAAGCAAGCAAGTTTCATTAGTTATTTAAGAAGAAGAATATTTCTCTTGTACCACAAAATAGCAATGCCTGGATTTCATTAACTTTCAGTAAATCTTCATGACAACCTCCAATTCCAGTGAAGGTAGGACATGTAAAACGTCAAATAAAAACTGAATATAATGGTATGCAAATACTTTTCAAGTTATATTCAGTTTAATACCTGAAGAATATATAATATTTAATGTTGAAACTGATGAACGTTATTTGTATTTATTTATGTATTTTTTTGTAAATATTCTCTCATTTTGAATTTGATGCTTACCACACATTCCAAAAAAGCTGTGACAAAAAAAGTTGAGGAATACTTAAAAAAAAAAATAATAATAATAATTTTGTTTAAAAAAATTTTTAAAAAAAGCACCTGATTCTCTCAGCACAGAAACACTACCAGGATGGTCTCAATATTATAGAAATGGCCCTATCTGAGTATCCAGAGAACTTCAAGTGAGGCACACCCACACAACACCCACACTCGCATGATGCATCCCATTCTAGCCACAATCTGACCTTGTGTTTATGGATGTGCTGGGCATCCTTTAGCTTGCTCTATACCAAGGTCAAGTTGGAGAGCATGTGCAGAGGATCAGAAGAAGCTTTGCTCACCTGCAAACACATGCTGCAGATCTGGAAAAGCTTTTACAACCTTACCAATCCCAGGTATGCACATACGCGTACGGTTCCATAATGAATCTTGACTGGTTGAATGTTGTGATCAAATGGAACACCCAGTCTGTGTTTGTGTGGTTTGTTGTGGCAGTGATTCGGGGCGTGGTAGCAGTTTGTTGGATAGGGCTGTAGCTGACAGACGACAGCTAAATGCAATGACTCTGCCAGACTTCAGTGACCCAGATACAGGTAGGTGCGCACACACACACACACACACACACACACACAAATTCAATGGTCTTGATTTTCAATGTATTCTTTGCAATGTTTTTCATTTTTGTAAACTTAAACTAAACTATATTCACTCGTAATCAAAATTATTGTTACAGATTTGAAAGTGCCTCCTCGAGATTGTATGTTTCAACTCCTTCCGCAAATGTTCATTAGGCTTTAGATCAGAGTTCACAGAAGGAAAGAAGACATAGCACCCTCTGTAAAACATGGAGGAGGCTTGTTTATCTGCTGGGGCTGCTTTGCTACTACCAGCACAGAATGTTTTGAATTTGTGTTAGGTTCAATTACAGTGCATACAGAAATTATTTACAGCACTTCTTTTTCCACATTTTATGTCTGATAATATCCTCATTCCAATATAGAATAAATTTCCCCTTCCCCTCAAAATTCCATACAGAACACCCCATAATGCAAACATGATTATTATTTTATTAAGAATAAACATTTCACAAGAAATCACATATACATAACTTCACAGCCTTTCCCATGAAGTTCAAAATTGAGCTCAGGTGCATCATGTTTCCACTCATCATCCTTTGAAGTTCTTGTCTCTTAATTGGAGTCCACCTGTGGTAAATTCAGAGACAGGATCGTCTCGAGGCACAAATTTGGAGAAGGTTCACAGCCTTTCCCATGAAGTTCAAAATTGAGCTCAGGTGCATCATGTTTCCACTCATCATCCTTTGAAGTTCCTGTCTCTTAATTGGAGTCCACCTGTGGTATTGCCAAGTTTCATTAGTTATTTAAGAAGAAGAATATTTCTGTTGTACCACAAAATAGCAATGCCTGGATTTCATTAACTTTCAGTAAATCTTCATGACAACCTCCAATTCCAGTGAAGGTAGGACATGTAAAACGTCAAATAAAAACTGAATATAATGGTATGCAAATACTTTTCAAGTTATATTCAGTTTAATACCTGAAGAAGAATATATAATATTTAATGTTGAAACTGATGAACGTTATTTGTATTTATTTATGTATTTTTTTGTAAATATTCTCTCATTTTGAATTTGATGCTGACCACACATTCCAAAAAAGCTGACACAAAAAAAGTTGAGGAATATTTTTAAAAAAAATAATAATAATTTTGTTTTAAAAAAGCACCTGATTGCAACATTTCACAGGTGAACACTGAATACTCGTGACCTTTGATTTCTTAAGGCGACATCGTTGTGTGCCACATGGGCACAGGAACACTTCAGAAAGCCATTTTCAGATAACACTCATCATCCCTCCTTTTCTACGAGAGTCATTCAATAAATACGGTGAATTTTTTGGTATAAGGACTTGTAATACGGATAGAAGCTTACTGAAAAAAAACATTTAAAAAATCAACGTAGTCTCCCAGCACTGTCACACACTTTTCCCATCTGTGCACAAGCTTCCATATTGCCTCAGCGTAAAAATCTTTGGACTGATGTCTCAGCCAGTCGCTCACACTTTTGACTTCATTGGCACTTCCAAACTTTGTCCCAATTACCGTGAACTGCTGAGGCAGGTCAGGAAAAACATAAAGAAAAACAGAAGTGTCATCAGTCTGAAGGGGTCATCTTGCATCATGACAACGCAAGACCTCACACAGCAACCCAAACGTCGCGGACCATCACCATGCTGTGTTGGGAACTGCTCCCTCATCCCCCTTAGAGCCCAGACCTTGCCCCTTCAGATTTTCACCTGTTTGGTCCCTTGAAAGAGTTCACAGTAGTTGGCACAAAGTTTGAAAGTTACAAAGTCTGTGGATGTTTTTTTTATGTTTTCAATTTCAGTCTTTTGATTGACAATTATTTTGTGTTCCTTTCCTTTAGGAATTGCTTCCATTGGTATATTTATTTTTTTTACTGTTTCTGTTTTAGCCTCAGGTTCTTCCTCCTCGCACACTGGTTCAGAACCAGTCTCCCCCACATCCCCCTCCACCGTATCCACGCTCTCCTCCCCACAGTTCTCCCCTTCCTCTCCAGTTTTCATTCCTCACACAGGTAGCATGTCGGAAATAGCAACAGTGCTACTGTGGCGATCTCAGAATATTCAGCCATAACTTTAATCCAGTTGTCTCGAACGTACTTTTAAGGCCGCCGTCATTTGCGCTCTCCAGCAGTTTTATTACTCATTTTGCGAGCTCTAGCGTTTTGTTTTTAGCGTAATCGGTCACGTGACGAAGAAGCGCGGTTTGACGTGTGTCAAGCGTGACATAGACGGATGCAGATTTTCACCTGTTTGGTCCCTTGAAAGAGTTCACAGTAGTTGGCACAAAGTTTGAAAGTTACAAAGTCTGTGGATGTCCGCGGACCGGCGGTTGGGGACCCCTGCTATACAGAACACCCCATAATGCGAACATGATTATTGTTTTAGTACATTTATTAAGAATAAACAATTCACAACAAATCACATATACATAACTTCACAGCCTTTCCCATGAAGTTCAAAATTGAGCTCAGGTGCATCATGTTTCCACTCATCATCCTTTGAAGTTCCTGTCTCTTAATTGGAGTCCACCTGTGGTATTGCCAAGTTTCATTAGTTATTTAAGAAGAAGAATATTTCTGTTGTACCACAAAATAGCAATGCCTGGATTTCATTAACTTTCAGTAAACCTTAATGACAAACTCCAATATAGAATAAATTTCCCCTTCCCCTCAAAATTCCATACAGAACACCCCATAATGCAAACATGATTATTATTTTATTAAGAATAAACATTTCACAAGAAATCACATATACATAACTTCACAGCCTTTCCCATGAAGTTCAAAATTGAGCTCAGGTGCATCATGTTTCCACTCATCATCCTTTGAAGTTCTTGTCTCTTAATTGGAGTCCACCTGTGGTAAATTCAGAGACAGGATCGTCTCGAGGCACAAATTTGGAGAAGGGTGCAAAAAAATTTAGACACAACACCTGTCGCCAGATGGAGAAGTCTAATGGAGAGTTATGGAAATTGTTACAGTGACAAAATTAAGCAAGCAAGTTTCATTAGTTATTTAAGAAGAAGAATATTTCTGTTGTACCACAAAATAGCAATGCCTGGATTTCATTAACTTTCAGTAAATCTTCATGACAACCTCCAATTCCAGTGAAGGTAGGACATGTAAAACGTCAAATAAAAACTGAATATAATGGTATGCAAATACTTTTCAAGTTATATTCAGTTTAATACCTGAAGAAGAATATATAATATTTAATGTTGAAACTGATGAACGTTATTTGTATTTATTTATGTATTTTTTTGTAAATATTCTCTCATTTTGAATTTGATGCTGACCACACATTCCAAAAAAGCTGACACAAAAAAAGTTGAGGAATATTTTTAAAAAAAATAATAATAATTTTGTTTTAAAAAAGCACCTGATTGCAACATTTCACAGGTGAACACTGAATACTCGTGACCTTTGATTTCTTAAGGCGACATCGTTGTGTGCCACATGGGCACAGGAACACTTCAGAAAGCCATTTTCAGATAACACTCATCATCCCTCCTTTTCTACGAGAGTCATTCAATAAATACGGTGAATTTTTTGGTATAAGGACTTGTAATACGGATAGAAGCTTACTGAAAAAAAACATTTAAAAAATCAACGTAGTCTCCCAGCACTGTCACACACTTTTCCCATCTGTGCACAAGCTTCCATATTGCCTCAGCGTAAAAATCTTTGGACTGATGTCTCAGCCAGTCGCTCACACTTTTGACTTCATTGGCACTTCCAAACTTTGTCCCAATTACCGTGAACTGCTGAGGCAGGTCAGGAAAAACATAAAGAAAAACAGAAGTGTCATCAGTCTGAAGGGGTCATCTTGCATCATGACAACGCAAGACCTCACACAGCAACCCTTTTTGTAAATATTCTCTCATTTTGAATTTGATGCTTACCACACATTCCAAAAAAGCTGTGACAAAAAAAGTTGAGGAATACTTAAAAAAAAAAATAATAATAATAATTTTGTTTAAAAAAATTTTTAAAAAAAGCACCTGATTGCAACATTTCACAGGTGAACATTGAATACTCGTGACCTTTGATTTCTTAAGGCGGCATCGTTGTGTGCCACATGGACACAGGAACACTTCAGAAAGCCATTTTCAGATACACTCATCATCCCTCCTTCTGTACGAGAGTCATTCAATAAATAACGGTGAATTTTTTGGTATAAGGACTTGTAATACGGATAGAAGCTTACTGAAAAAAAAACATTTAAAAAATCAACGTAGTCTCCCAGCACTGTCACACACTTTTCCCATCTGTGCACAAGCTTCCATATTGCCTCAGCGTAAAAATCTTTGGACTGATGTCTCAGCCAGTCGCTCACACTTTTGACTTCATTGGCACTTCCAAACTTTGTCCCAATTACCGTGAACTGCTGAGGCAGGTCAGGAAAAACATAAAGAAAAACAGAAGTGTCATCAGTCTGAAGGGGTCATCTTGCATCATGACAACGCAAGACCTCACACAGCAACCCAAACGTCGCGGACCATCACCATGCTGTGTTGGGAACTGCTCCCTCATCCCCCTTAGAGCCCAGACCTTGCCCCTTCAGATTTTCACCTGTTTGGTCCCTTGAAAGAGTTCATAGTAGTTGGCACAAAGTTTGAAAGTGACAAAGTCCATGTAGATTTTTTTTTTATGTTTTCAATTTCAGTCTTTTGATTGACAATTATTTTGTGTTCCTTTCCTTTAGGAATTGCTTCCATTGGTTTATTTATTTTTTTTACTGTTTCTGTTTTAGCCTCAGGTTCTTCCTCCTCGCACACTGGTTCAGAACCAGTCTCCCCCACATCCCCCTCCACCGTATCCACGCTCTCCTCCCCACAGTTCTCCCCTTCCTCTCCAGTTTTCATCTTTCAGCCTCCTCTTCCACCCAAAAAATCTTGCTCCTTGCCTCCTCCTCCTCCTCCCATGATGACCACCAAAGCCAGGACTCACTCCTTTTCCAACCACGTCGCTCTTCGTCAGCTTTCCTCCAGCTGTAACGTGCTACTCGCTTCACTTGAGCTTTCTAGCATGGTGTGGACTGTGATGCCCCCCAGAAGAGCACATTGCATTTGAGCGTAGATCATCTCTTATCTTGTCAAACCTGTTTCTCTGGTGCTCTGTGCAATTTTGTTCAAATACAAAAATAGGAGAGTTCAGTAGTTCACGCCTAATAGCAAACGGACGGATTGCAAACTTCTCGAAACAGTCCTGACAGAAAACAAATGCGCCCAAAAGCTGATGCAACAAGATAGTCTCTTAAAACAAGGAAAGAAGTCGGAAGGCAGTAGTGTCATTCCCTGTCGCATATACGTTCTGTTTCATCGCTCGGTTAATGTCAGTTGACTCAAAAAGTGGCTCCCACTCTTATGGAAGGACAGAAAGCTTTTTAGGGGTTAGTTTAGGGACCCTGTATGATTGCCAGCTGTGTTTACCCACTTGACAAAATAACCTTCTACCCCATATAGTTTCTTGGTGGCGATATTCATTTCATTTTTTTTCACCTTCTTAAGCCGTGCATTCAAATACTGTAGAAGACAATTAGAATAATGAAGGCGCACTCATCTATTGGTGCAAGCAAATCTGCCTCCTCCTCCAGCCTAAAACACATGATGAGCGACTAGTTGACATCACGCCCTAAACGTCATTGTGGAGTCGTAAAGTCGACAAATTGAGTCGTCTGTATAACGCCGACAGCATGCCGTGGATCATTCCAGTGCGAAAGCTCCTTAACATTCCAACATTGATTTAGAAGAATTAGGAAATACAAAAGCATCAGAACGACAACAGAGTGTGACTCACTGGTGAAGGAAGACAGCAAGTTCGCAGTTGAAGAGAATGAGATATGTACCGTATTTTCTGCACGGGAAGGCGCTTCGTATTATAAGGCACATCTTCAATCAATGGCCTATATTAAAACGGTTTTCAAGTATAGGGCGCACGGCATTATAAGGCGCATAGAATAGAAGCTACAATAGTGTCTGCGGTTGCATTATGCATCCACTAGATGGCACTACGCTAAGGGGAATACAATACAATGAAGATTTTAGATAGAGCCATCACAACCGCTACAGCTGTAACAAAGCGCTTTACAGAACATTTAAAATACTACACCCAAGAAATCTGAAATATTGATCCATATGTAGCTCTCTCAGGATGTAGCATGAAGCACGACACCAAGTCCATAAAAATACAGGGGTTATTCATTAGCAACTGGTCACGAACACCGACATGAAACATAAAAATACAAATGGCATTCCAAAACAATATATGAAAGCCAAACGTTATGAAGACAATTGATTCAACAAAAAGGCACACATACTTCATGGGCTCACATCCACAAGGGCTAAATATCCTTTGAAGTCTTGCTTGTCTCCGTCCTTTGTTTTGTCAGCAGTTAACTGAGCGTGTGGTCTTATATTTGTTTCATAATGACTGTGCAGAGCTCACAAAGTTGTCTATTTGAGTGTGTTGGCGAATGCACATGTCAATTTACAATTGTAAATGTTAATGTTACAATTGGTTCCTGCTAAAAATCACCACTAGATGGGATCGGAACACTAACAGGGAAACAACTCAATGGGGAATATCAAGAGAGTTACAGTCTCTTTACTTTATTAGGTGCATCGGATTATTTGGGTTATTTGTACCCATAAATCAACACTTTGCTTCGAAAATACATTTGGTATGCTGTAGTTGATCAAATCAAATTTTTCGAATGATGACCCTTGTGAGGATAAAGCGCATCGGAAAATGGATGGATGGATGAAATGATGAATGTCTAAATTATTGTAGATGGAAAACCCCACATTGGGATCACGATAGCTTCAAGATATACCTTGTGGCCTTTCCCAAATAATGCAGTGAAATTGTGATTTCATCATTAGTTGGGGGGGGGGGGGAGTTTTGTTGTCTCCCACTGGTGAAAATTGCCATTGCAATTCCGGTCTGCCTCTCAGTAATAATTAGGCCGGCTTGTTTAATTGACACTTCACTTGGTGTCCCCTCATTTACACAACACCATGAGCCAGCATGGAGCACTGGATTCAACAGTTTGCCATACGTACGATGTCTTTTATTTAACCGTTGATTTGAAAAGTGAAGCCTCAAAAAGCGAATGTGCTCCAGTGAGGGATCTTGACTGACCACTTGCTTATTTCAACCTCACAGGCATGCTCAGTGTTGAAAAGAACTTCACACATTCGAAGATATGGTGCTTTGTTTTTTTGAGCATTTTGTGAAGTCTTGAGCATTTCTCTTATTACGTTTTGACCTGATTTTTTTTTGTTTATATCAAATGTTAGCCAATTAGTGCAATGTGTTTATCGGATTAAATGAATGTAAGGCTCGTGTCTTGAGGGCCTTGTAAAGAAAAAAACACTGTGATGCACTTTTAAGTTTTCTTTTGCTTCACAATGATTTGTCTGTGCTTGACTTCGTTTCTCTCTTTTAATCATTAACAACTGCATTTCTGGGTTTTTTTCCCTCCATCCCTTCGTTTCTTTTTTCTTTTTTTAAGGCGGCCTTCAGGACGCTAAAATGCTTGGTTTTTCTTCCATGTTTTCTGTTTGTAAGTAGCCAAGTAACCTCCATCTGACCTTACGTTTTTCCATTTATTGCTTACTTCCCATCCTTTGTTTTAGTTACCTCATTTTTTTTCGCTGGTGAGATTGTCATTCTTGTCCACATGGTGACTTTATCAGGTACACTTTGTAAATGCAAGGTTGTCGGCAGCGTTATTTCCGTGGCATCATTCTCCAGAGATTTTTTTTTTCGTGGTTCATACAAACAAGAATGGATAATTCGGCTCTCGGCAACGAAATTCTGACCCCAATCACATCAATGTTGTCATGAGACAACTGAATTTCTCTCCAACAGTGGTCTCTTCTACTTCAAGGTTGGACTAGAGCGGGGGTCGGCAACATGCGGCTCCAGAGCCGCATGCGGCTCTTTAGCGACATCTCGCGGCTCCCTGGAGCTTTATAAAAAATGTTTGAAAATGGAAAAAGATTTTGATAGTCGGCTAATATAGCTCAAATAGATATAGATACATGTTGCAGATCCGAAAAAGGAGAGCTGTGGTGTTGGTTTTTTAAAACGTACACTTTATTTATGCTTTTAACGGTCTTGACAAACACAGACACGTCTGCGCCCGACTCCGTGCCTTCTCTCTTCTCGTTTGACTTGAGAGGCGTTCAAAGACAGCCTCCGAAAAACGGAAATAAATGATCACTTAACTGGCACTAAAAAAAGCGAAAATAATGCACAAAAACAAAAAAACCAAGGGAGGAAATCACAAAATAAATTCTATGGGGGCGTTTGTGAACACACAACAAAGCAATGAATAACATAAACAATTCTGAGACACTCCAGTCTCCTACATATATATATACAGCATGTGTTTCCTTCATTATAAGTTTTGTAGAAAAATCTTTTATTTTTTTGCGGCTCCAGATATTTGTTTTTTTTTTTTGTTTTGTTTTTTTTTTGTCCTTTATGGCTCTTTCAAACATTTTGGGTTGCCGACCCCTGGACTAGAGCATGAATAACATTTTCTAAGTTGTTCAAGATTCTTTTCTTGAAGCTTGTACACTGTCGATCTAGTCGTCTGGCCACTCTTCTGCAGTATGAGTAAGTTCCTGTCAATTATGGCCAAAGTCCCATTTCGTTGAACAGTGCATTTTGAATGCACTCAGCTTTAGTCATGAGATTGGCTGATGACACTTTTGATGCGGGAAGCAGTTAAACATGTGTACCAAATAAAGTGGCTGTTGTGTCCACGTCATCAGCTTTTACTTGCTCTCAGCTGGTTGCTGCACAACGAGAGCTCTTGTGCAGATTCAGTTACAGTAGTTGTATTTGTTTTAAAGGAATACAGTGACGTATTGATTTAAAAACAAAAAAGCACTATCCAATTACTAAATGCTTTGATGTAATTTTTCGATGTCGTTACGAAAAAAAAAAGTGTAGAATACTCTATTTCATTCATGCCCGTATGGTGTTGCACTTGTGAGTGATTTTTTTTTTTCTGATTTTCTTAGATTGCGGTGAAAATGGATTCAGATCTTAATGGAGGATCTGTTTCAGAAAGATGTCATTCTACACGATACTATTTTTCTAACACAAATAACCAAATGAAAAATGATTTTTTTTTAATTGATTAGCAATTCTATCTTGATTTTCAACAATCCAGTGTTGAAAGTTTGTTGAGGAATTTGGAATTGGAATTCAACCCATGCCTTGGATATGAATGTGAAAGTGATTTGTTATGCTTTCAACCATCTATTTAAATACATTTCACTGCAAAAAGAGAGCGAGAAAGGTAAAAAAAAAAAAAAAACAACACTAAACCAAAATTAGCCTTTTTTTTTTTTCCTGAGTCATTGTATTCCTTTAATGGATTTAGCAGCTTTTGCATGTGTTTTTGTGTTAGCCGCAAACATTTACGTGTGAGTCTGTGCTACAAGTGTCACTGTTTGGAAATGCAAAGGACGAAATGGTGTCAAGTGGAAAGTATGGAAATATATCTGGAAACCTCAATTTGTCACAAACAAAAGTGCACATATCTCCAGAATAGGAAGAATCCTCAATTAACCACAAACATCTATTTTTTTTAACAGCAACTGTTACTCAAGTATTAAAAAAAAAAAACACACACTAATGTAATGCAACTTGAAAACTTGACAAGCATCATCCTCACTTAGTGTTCCTTGTCAAAGACCGTAAACCGATGGACACAAAGACACAACACCAGTCACACAACGCCCAACTCAAACTCCTTTATATGCAACAAGTAGGCAACAGTATGTTCCTCTCAAGTCAACGGGAATGGGAAAGTTGTAACCTGCCAACATAAAAGGCAGTAGTTGCGCTAAAGATTGCTGAGTCAACGTTGATCAGTCACGGGGCTACTGGCCACCATCCCCAAACTGGCACGATGGAAGAATTTGGTAAAGCTGGACAAAAGTCCACCAGCGTAATCTTTTCTGCTAAGAGTGTGATTCTGTTTGATTTGCTTCCCATAATACTGTTCTCCTATCATTGTTACCCTCTCCTAAAAAGGGCCACCAAAACTACGACGAGATTTAGTTGTGTTTTTAAACGCCACTGAATCATTGTTCAAAATGGTTCTTCGTTCAGGGCTTTCACCAGTCGCCTGTGTGCCGGCGGCTACTTTGTGTGCCTGATGCAATCTCACCTGCTATAACAAAAGAGCACTTGTTTCACCTACTAATCTCTGTACAATGTATTTGGTGTGGCTGCATGGTGGGGTGCAGAAATTAGCTCACTTAATCTTAACACTGAGGTGTGTTGCAGTGTGTGAAATGGTGTGTACTGATGAAAGGCTGTAAGTTCACAAATAGGAAACTGTGTGCCATGGTGATCTTATTGAAACAAACTATTTCAGTTTCCCCCGCTCATATGTTTTTAAAACATTCGCAGTCCACCTCGGTTGGAATTCTGAGTAAAACCATGGCACATAGCGACTTCATTAAATTGCCTTCTCCTTAATATTAACAAAGAATATCTCGTGTTAATTGTATGTACCCGCCTCCTTCCAGGTTCTGTGCATGCTACATCCATAGCGGCAAGTCGTGTGGAGCAGGCATTGTCTGAGGTGGCTTCCTCCTTGCAGAGTAGTGCCCCAAAGCACGGTCCCCTGCACCCCTGGTTGACTCTGGCTCAGATCTGGCTGCATGCAGGTACTTACATCTACTGTTACTTGATGTCACAGTCCAGTGGACGTCCCACAAACTCACCGGTCGGCACCTGTGGAATCACTTAGTCACATTTAGTTTTTCGTGGAACAAACTCACCGGTCGGCACCTGTGGAATCACTTAGTAACAGGTTTAGTTTTTCGCGGAAAATGCTTATTGGAGATTCATACTAGGTTTTTCAAGAAGTGCGTGCGAGCGAGAGAGAGAGAGAGAGAGACGCACATACATGCACACATATGCCACGAAGAGCAACAGCCATAACGAACCCTAACGTGGGTGAAACAGAAAAATAAACTTGATCCAAGACAAGACTGAATTTGAATGTTAGTCTTACTGCTTGCTGTTTAGCGATCACGTTTTTAAATTCCTTCCCATCTTTGTCTCCAACAGCTGAGGTCTACATCGGCATGTCGAAGCCCGCTGAGGCGTCAGCCTGCACTCAAGAAGCCGCCAACCTCTTTCCCACATCGCATAATGTTCTGTTTATGAGGGGGCAGATTGCAGAGCTGAGGGGCAACATAGACGAGGCGAAGCGCTGGTATGAAGAAGCCCTGTCCATCAACCCCACGCATGTCAAAACCATGCAGAGACTGGTAATATATGTTTACACACACACACACACACACACTCGATTGCGTTATTGTCTTTAACTTCCGTTCAAGTGTGTCCGCTTTTTGCCTGAAGAGTCTGCAGGCCCTTACGTAATTTAGCCTGCGTCCTGTGGGAGTCTTTAAAAGATTGTCTCATTCACCGAGGGATAGAGCTGTATGCATTTTGGAGAACTCCCCACCAGCTCTTCCTCATAATTACAATCCAGCACTGAGAGCAACTGAGATTGATTATGTCGCTCAAAGATGCGTCAGGATTCCTGAAAGGGGGCCGAGAGCTAAACCATGAACCTTCCAGCTGCTGTGAACCACGACGTTACAATTGCTGCCATACTTTTTAAGTTTCATCCCAGTTAGCCACTGTGTTGAACGGCAAGGGCAACAAACAATCATGCAGATAGATCGTGGTAGAGTCCACTGCCAGCTTAGTTTGGAAACGGCAGGAAACAGTGTTCTTGCCCATGCTTGTTGCGGGTTTGTTCTCTGGTTACTCTAGCTTCCTCCCTCATTTCAAACACAAGCATGTCAGATTCATTGAAGACTTTTCACTTCCTGTAGGTTAATCTACTGTAAGTATGAATGGTTGATCGTCTATTTCCCTCCATTTGTTGTCGACAACCATGATAAAGATATCTCTCGTAAATGTTTGGGCAGTGGCCCGTACACAAGCTACAGTTTTCATGCAGCTCATACCATATTATTTTGTTGTATTAATCCGCCACACCTTAAATGCCGGTCCCTGAAAATATTGTCTGACTTAAACCGGTCCGTGGGGCAAAAAAGGTTGGGGACCCCTTAGCCTGCGTCCTGTGGGAGTCTTTAAAAGATTGTCTCATTCACCGAGGGATAGAGCTGTATGCATTTCGGAGAACTCCCCATTAGCTCTTCCTCATAATTACAATCCGGCACTGAGAGCAACTGAGATTGATTATGTCGCTCAAAGATGCGTCAGGATTCCTGAAAGGGGGCCGAGAGCTAAACCATGAACCTTCCAGCTGCTGTGAACCACGACGTTACAATTGCTGCCATACTTTTTAAGTTTCATCCCAGTTAGCCACTGTGTTGAACGGCAAGGGCAACAAACAATCATGCAGATAGATCATGGTAGCTGCCAGCTTAGTTTGAAAACGGCAGGAAACAGTGTTCTTGCCCAAGCTTGTTGCGGGTTTAATCTCTGGTTACTCTAGCTTCCTCCCTCATTTCAAAAACAAGCATGTCAGATTAATTGAAGACTTTTCGCTTCCTGTAGGTTAATCTACTGTAAGTATGAATGGTTGTATACTTGGTAATGTTGTATAATGTGATCGTCTATTTCCCTCCATTTGTTGTCGACAACCATGATAAAGATATCTCTCGTAAATGTTTGGGCAGTGGCCCGTACACAAGCTTGGCGGGAATCAGTTGACTAGCTTTTGATTTTCATAACAAGCATAGCTAGATTGGGTGTGTAGCCTCAATTGATCTGCGGATGTGTCTCCCTCTCAAACAAATACGCTTCACCTCAAATAAACGCCTTGGCAAAAAAAATAGCAGCTCGTGCCACCGGTTAGCTGTAATTTTTGTTTTTTTAAACACCATGTGTTACACTTGGGTCAGGTTTGGTATGCTACAGACTGATTATCCCCCATGCTGATGAATATAAAAGTGTGAAACTTAAAATAAAAGCCTGTAAATTGAGTAGATAAACATCTCAAGCAAGAAATATGGTACTTAACATGTATGCATATCGCAGATGTGACAAAGTCAATATGCAAATTTTCTGCCATCCTCAGGGTCTTATTCTCCACCAGCTGCAACGCTACAGTCTGTCGGAAAAAGTCCTGAGGGATGCCGTGCAGGTCAACAGGTAGGTGTCTGCATGTCGGTGTCCAGGGAAGCACTGCTGTCTGCCGGAATAATGGTCAAGCCCAAGCCCTGCCACTAAAATGTGACAGGAATTGACGCTCTGCCAAAAAGAGGTTTTAGACTGTACTCAAAAATACCACAAGATGGCGGTAAAGGACTTCTTATCTCCAGCTGTGCCCATGATTGTGTTTTCAGGGGGCCACATGTCGGCCATCACTTATCACTTGTAAAGTGGCTCAGCAACATCACATCGATATGTCATTTTCTCCACTACTTGACATATCTCTTTTTGTACTCAGTACGGCTCATGACGTGTGGAACAGCCTTGGTGAGGTGTTGCAGGCTCAAGGAAACGCCGCCGCCGCCACCGAGTGTTTCCTCACCGCTTTGGAGCTAGAGGCCAGCAGCCCCATCCTCCCCTTCACCATCATTCCAAGAGCACTATAAAACATACACACACAGTGGTAGCGTACTGGAGCACAAAAATGGACCTGTGAGAAACACACCAAACACGCAGTATGCCTGCATCTCTCTCTCTCTCTCTCTCTCACACACACACACACACACACACATTCGAGTCAAATGACTAGGTCTCCCCCCTCCCATCATGCCTTGCTGTAACCACCTCTGGTGATGCTGTTTTGTTGTGTGTTTGTGGTCTGTTTCCGGTGCATTTTGACTCTGACATTTCCTACATGAAGACCAAGACTTGAAATGGTGTTTAGGTCATTCATATGCTGTACTTGAAATTGTTGAAGCACTGACAGCAAATATAAGGAACACAAGTGTGTATGTCTTGTTGACACCAGTTTCCACGCCAAGCGATTTGATACATCAGGCCATGCACGCGCGTAAACACACGCATGCGCACACGCATTCACATGCTGCTAGCCACCGTGAGCTGGCTTGAATCCCAAAATGCAGATTTGCATTTACACGACACATTTCTTTTTAACGGCATTGCAACGCAAGTCATTCCACATACAAGTGACCTGTTTTAGCAGTATTTTGACATACAAACCATCGATCGGCCATTTTTTTTTGTCTTCAATTGCGGCCAAAATTGGCTAAAAAATTGGTAACAAGCAGCGTTTTGCTCAGGAGGATAAACGGTTTAGAAAATGGACGGGAGAATGATTAATTATTCCCTCTCAAAATCCTAGTTGGATTTTACTCTAAAACTAAACCTAAAACAGAATTTCACATTGTGTGTGCAAGCTCTCATAGCGTTACCTCACGAAAGTCCGCTGGCTGAGCGCTAACGCAATGCCTAGTGCCTACGGAGGGGGAATTTAGCTAGCATTGATGTCACGTTAGTTCTAAGCCTTCAAGCATCACATATTTGGAGAAAGAATAGAATACTCACAGGCGTTGTGTTGTTTACCCTCTGTGAAAAGTAAATAATCATAACAAAGTTTATGCTGCATTCGAGGAAGGTGGGAAGTCGGAAATATCCGACTCAAATTGTCCCCATTACGGCCGCTAAACGTTTCAGATGAACGTAAACAACAAAAATGGCTTATTGTTTTGGGTCATCACAACACATTTTGACCTCCAGCAAACCTTCATAATTTCTTCAATGTATAGAAAGAAAGCAATATTGTATCTTCCAAGTATTTCGTTCATGTCACCAAATACTGTAACTTCATGTAGGGAAATCACAGCATTCTGTATCTTCATGCAGTCAGTACAAATGTTCCCTGAAGTTATTTTGAATAACTGAATTAATGAGATATTAAATAAATAAAGCAAAATATATGTTCATAGTCTTGTAAATTATATTTTGCCTTCCACGGTCTTTGCCTCCGGTTGGAGGTCGCAAAATTTCGACTTCCTACATTCCTCGAACTAAGCATTAGTTGTGGCCGTCATTTTCTGTACAGTACTGTATTTGTTCTGCACGCCCCCTCGTGGGCAAGGCACGCACACCAGAAAGGAGGCCCATTGAGTCCAGGCATGATGTCTTGATGCTGAACCTCTTTCGTTACATTCTATTTAATTATGTTGATGCTGTAGAGTGCCATTTTTCTCGTTGAAAAACGTTTGTTTGTTTTTTAATTGTGTGGTCGGGGCTTCAAACATTATTGCCATTTCCATTTATTTCAGTGGGGAAAGATGATTTGCGATGCCCGATAAATTATTGTCAGATAAAAGCGTAGTCACGGAAGATATTAAACTAAAAAGTAAAGACATCGCCGTACCAAGAATTTTTTTAAGCGTAACCACGTTTACATTTCCCAGTTGTTTGATACAAATGTTCCTCGTATGTTGTTCATCTTCCCTTTGCCATTCTTCTCACTGTACACCAATAAGATAGTTGCACTTATTTGCCAAGATTAAAATGAGATTAAACCGAAACTCGACCTGAAGCTCCCGCCGACGGCAATGAGCCTACCCTGTGCGCAGCTAAACTACAGGCCCGAGTTTCATATCACCGGTTGGTCACAGAAGCAACATTTATGTTGCAAATAAACATGGATGCTCATAGTGTACACTAAATTTGATTGTCACTGCACATTTGCATACCAAGCATTTTGTCGCTCACCCACCAGTATGACTGCAAATCACAAAAAAAAAGTTTATCTTATTAACGTGTGCTAACATGGTGAGCACAAACCACAATTACCTGTTTTTAGGATCCCAAATCATTACCAGGGCTGATTACCAACACTGAGAAATAAGAATGGTGTTAAAATGAGGATCACGGTGTGCGTCATTCTCTTACATTTATTTTGATTTTTTTTTTTTTTTTTTTAATAGTTGGTCAGAGAAGTCACTAAATAGAGTGACAACTTAAAGTTTTGGGGGAAAATGTCAAAGTCGTCATGCAACCACTGCACCTGCTGTAAACGTAGTTCCGGTTTTTGTTTTCACAACAAAGTGTAATGGTTGTATATTGTATAGTGCCATGTGTATTATTATTTTGTAAAGTAAATTCTAATTCTATTTTCTTCACAGAGCTTGATGTTACTGAGATGGTTGATGTAAGAGGAATGTGTACGAATTCGGCTTGTGGCTCAGTGTGCCCTTTATGCTTTCATGAATGAGGAACGATAAACGTATAAAAGTCAATTTGGTCTCTTGAGTGTTTTTGAGTCAGTGAATTCATTTTGAAGTGCAGCATCTGTCTTTGACCTGCGGTTCACACCCGGGTTTGTATCTCAAGTGTGTTTGTGGCAAGCGAGTTTGTGCCTGCATGCGTGTGTCCGTCATCCTTTGTGTATCTTTTATCGGAGGATCTCACAGCACTGACAGCCTTTGTCCCACGGTGTCAATCACGCGCACGCTCCCCCACTCAACTCTCGGGTAACACTTGGTGTTATTTCCCTACGGTCATGACCTGTCCATAGACTATAATTCAAAATATCAAAATGAAGGATTTTTAACTCGGGGGGAAGAAAAAGTACAATAATTTAATATTTTAAATGGATCAAAGTAGATAAAAATATCATTTATATTCCTTATATTACAGTAACTTTATATTGCGCTTTTCAATGGTGTGTGTTCTATTAAAATTTTCCATGAAAATTGTCTTGCAGAAACAGTTTTGTGTGTGTGGGGGGGGGGTTATCGATAAACACAAGTACAGTACGGTATTGTCATTCGGAATAAATTGAAAGAAAGGATAGACACCATATTTTACTGGACATTTAAGACTGCATGAAGAAACTCTACCCCCTCCCCAAATAAAAAAAAAAGATTAAAAATAAAAACGAATTAATCTACGGCACATGTTTAAAATGAAAAAAAAAATCACAAGATCCCCCCCACTTACAAGCGTTTATGCTAAATCGTTCAACGTGTTGCAGTGAAAATATTGCCAACTTCCTAAAACAGGGGTGCCAAAATTTTTTGGACCTCAGATCGACTTTTCAATCAACCAATCTTCCGGGATCACCCCTTACCGCGCACGTTCACACACGCATGCGCGCGCCCGTAAACAGCCCGACTCGGAAGCATGCGATGCACTTTTGCAGCTTGTTAACTAGCTAGCTAGCTCACAAGTACCGTTTTAAAGTGCTTCCCTGTCCCTCTCGATTCCTATTCTTTGCCCGTGCCCTCAGTGAATTGTACACAAAGCAAACTCTGAATGAGAATAATGACGATAAAATACAAAGCGCAACAGCTCTGACCACAAATTGCAATCGCAGACTACTGAACGCTAACAACTTCCGGTGACGTAGATCACGCGCCACCGCAGGTTAATGATTTACCTGCTTTATTTTATTTTATTTTTAAAATAATTTTTCGTTAAAATTAAACTGATAGGACGATTAGAGTGCAGTGTACATTGAAAATATATTAATAACATGTACAAAGACACACAAATGGTTGGGTTTTTTTTTTTTTATTCTCCTCTACAACCCTCGGATACACTTGGGACCTGTCCGAGATCTACCGGTCGATCAGGATCGACGTAATGGGCACATCTGTCCTAAAACAATGATCTAAAACAGTCTTTTTTTTCAGAAAATAAAAACTGAACCACATACTAACATTATATGAACAGTTTCATTCCAGAGCTAGAATTGAATTAGCGATGATGATCATGGTTGTTCTGTTTGTGACCAACAGGTGGCAGTGGAGGGCTTCTCCTAACAGCGTCGCACTGCGGTTGCAAAGGTTGTGATTCTGCCAGGGGTTTTCGTTTTTTTACTTTGGTTTCTTGGTGTTTTCAGAATTTTGTTTGTTTTTTTAATTTTTGTGAATCCATTTTGTTCAGTCCACCCTGCTTCTCCTGCATTTCTGCTTTTTGGGTCATCTACCATCACACAACATTATCTAGAATGGAGCACATTTTTTTCGTCGAGATGGCTTGCAACATGAGGAGCTGTTTAAGGCAAAACGTTTTGTTTTTGTTTGTTTTTGGCAATACGAGACTTGGGCCATTATTTTAAGGTGACAATATTCGTGTGAGGAAAAGTTGAGAAAGTTCTAACTCACAAGAACATCCCAGAATCAAAGCATTGGCGGTATTGTCATAGCTATATGCATTATTGCAACACCACTCACGTCTCAGATGCTTGCATAACTACTTTTGTTTGCCGCGTGATATGGCTGATTCAAACACACCCCACATCGTCTCCATTACATCTGATCTATTTGTTATCAGCTGTTCATGGGCAGCAGCAGTCCAGCAGAAAGTCTGCTGCTTTTACACCTCCAAAGCAGGGGTTTGCCCTTTTAGCATCGTTGGTGGGAATGTCGCTTTGTCACTTCACTGTCAGCTTCTTGACCTGCTGGTCAGTGCTTTGTTCTCCTCTCAGATTTCACTCAAACCCGCCTCCCCTTTAACGCGCCTAGAATACCGATTCGGAATGCACACTTTCAGGTTTTGGAGCATTTACTAAAGACGGCTTTAAAAGATGTCACGTCACGTGAACACAAAAGGCACAAAAGCAAGATTTTAGTTTACCATCTTTTATTGGGAAAAAAAACAATGTAAAGATGGGAATGTGCAACTTGGAATGTTGATCGATGGAACTAAAAAGAACAGTTGGACTTGGCCAGGCCTCAATGCAACGCACACATACACCGTAAAATAGAAATGCCATGAAGGTGAAAGAAATATCCCCACAATAGAAAGTATGCTTCCGTGATCATTGCAGATTGATTTCCCGGAACACAACTGACGCTTCACACACAAATCACACACCTGGAAAAGCCCTCATGGCGCGAGGACCCTCAAACGGTAAATTGCTAGCCGGACACGCCACAAGCAAAATCTGATAAGAATTCTTTCTCCAGTATGACTCAAGTGCATGTGGCCCGACTCCTCCTGCCACTAGCCCGTGGAAAGCCGCATGCATGAAAAACACAGTCAACAGGAAGTCCGAAGAAAGGCAAAGCGGGCTGACTGGAGCGACAAGCCGGTGCATGCGTCGCTTTCGTTTTGAAGTGTGTATTCTGCCCATGTTTGGACATGTTGCATAACTTTCCCATGTCAGCAGGGGAACGCCCAGACCCTGCTTCTTCTCCTCATGCTTGCAAGTTAACCTTTTCATCCGAGAAACATCTCCAACTTCATAGTGACGTTCGGAGGAACACTGGATGTGAAACCAAGACAAAGTTATCAGGCGGCCCAGAGCTAATAAACATATCTTGATGATTAAACTGGTCATTTTGGTCTCCGTTCCTCTACTGATGTGGGATTGGCGTCAGGCTTCGCTAAGACTGTTATTTGCTGTTGTAATTTGTTTGACAGTGCTTGTGCTTTGCGCAAGATAGATTTTGACGCAGATGATTTTGGGATCACAGTATTAATTGTGATCAAGAGAGGGATTGTTAAGGTATTATTCCTCTCTGTTCGTTGGATTTGAAAGAAACAAAGAATGTAGAATGTTGTTGGAGGTATTTCCTGCTCACTGTGTTTACAATCACCTTTAGTGCCCCTGGACCTCCACCACTTTTAGGGCCCCTCTCCATTGGACATGTTTAACATCAAAAGAGGAACTGTTATCTCAAGCATCTGTGTTCCTGCCATCGCACCAAACGGTTGGTTGTGGTGGTCTGGTCTCACCTCACCACTCCCAACTTCTTCCAGCCACGCCGGGTCAGATGACATGTTACTTTCTTTGTTTCTGGGATTTGCATATTGTGTCTATACAATCTCATGACTGTGCTTCTTCTACGCTTCCTGACTGAAATCTGGAACCCTCAGGAGCCCGAATCGACTCGTAAACTGCAGAAAAATAAATGAAACCCTTCGAAGGAACTGTTCATTGACTCCAGCCTGTATTTGGATGACCAACATCCTCATCATCCGAAATTTACGAACACGCGGAGGAAGAGAAAGGCCGCTCTTCCCCCAACAGTTTTTAGAGCCGGTTAAATATGGACAAATCTGATGTATGCAGACATTCATTTTCAAGTCGCCTATACAGAAGTGTACGTGCAAATGTATTTTATTTTTCATTTTTTTGCAAGAGGAGGTAAGTGAAACATTTGACTGATTCTTTGTTTCTGCACATCTGCTTCATTTGGAAGTCATCATCGTGACAAACTCTGGAAACACACAAACAAACATACCAAAAGACAATGTCAAAAAAC